GAATAGGTTACAACAAATTATATTTTGTGACATATTTGCAAAAAAAGTTATGTACTAAGACGTATTGTTGCGCCACGTAGTGTGATAGAAGTTTGCCGACGTTTCAGAGGCACTTGCTGCCTCCATAATCAAGATGATGACGATGGAGGCAGGAAGAACCTCTGAAACGTCAGTAAAATTTTACCAGACTAAAGGACGATATTAGTCTTGATACTAACATATTTGAAGTCTTCTGGAAGGACCGAGAGGAGAGCCATCTGTCGACCATTTGAATGCTGCGTAAATTTCTCCATGGTCTGATCGTGATAAAAATCTGACGTCCTATTGGACTAAGATTATGCAACCATGATCTTTATACGAGTTATATTCAAGAAATGTTTCTGTTCAGTGATGAAGTTTCGTAAACTTTGATTATCCCTTCTCAGACAACTTGGCGCGGGTTTGGTTGGACTTAATTTAATTAAAGGTCAGTTAAAATAAATTATTTCAGTATCGTTGGTAATATATTCTTGTTGGAATCGTTAAAGTTTAATACCTGTATATTCACGGCGAAGGGAAGGTTCTTTTTACCCTCATTTCCTCTCTTCTCATGTACAAGTAACTATTGGAGCTGAGGCATCTCTGAATTTATTATTAAAGAATTGAATTAGGTTATTATTTCTATTACAATTACTGCACTTCTCAAATATTTAGCAGGCTTATTCATTCACCATTCCACCCACTCGCTGTAGAGGCGATAGGATCTGTCTTGGTAGGATTGCTTCGAAACATATCTGCCGCATAATTCTGTTCATTCCTAGTGCCGTACGTGTTATAATGTAATTCTGGTTTTTGTTGACACCAAATGTTCTTAGTTAGAATGTATTTTTGTTCTGAAGGTTTCTGTGAGTAATTAAGCGATCAGAAACCAAAATCTTGCTATGTATTCTCGGAATCAGGCAATCTGGAACTCGGACCATCTCGCACGGAACACAAACGCGAGAATTCTTTACAGTGCAGCACTGTCGTAAAACTAGACATATTGATTGATACCTGTTTATTTTTATAGGACTTGTCGAGAATTGGGGGTTTTCAAATCTGGTCATTGTACCTTAATTGTTTACGAATAGAAACCGCAGAACAGATAACAATTACAGAGTTTTATTTCTTGTTTGTGTTCTTGCTTATAGAGATTGGTTCCCTGTAGAACATTTAATAGAGCAGTTTGTGTATATGTTATACTATTAATTGTGAATAAAAAGAAGATTCTAAAGATATGTAGTGTGAACGTAGAATTAGAAATCTAAATTGCGGTCAAAATCACCTTTCCAGCCTGTCTTAGGCGCCCTGGAAGGCGGGCATCGGGAAGTTTTCTTTCCCGTCTGCTGATAAAGAGGCCTCGAGGTGGTCTGATCCCCTACAAAAGCTGGTAGCCTACTGAACCTTGCGGATCGGGCATGAAGCTGTCAGGCCGTCGCTATAAAAATCTTATTTGTCGAAAATTCTATCACTTTGATAGATTTTTTTACTGTAATCCGTGTAACGTAAATATTAATATGTAAAATGAATTGACCCAATGAAACGTTTTTGTGACGTCATCGTGTGACAACGGCGATAAATCTTCAAATTTTACGACAGGAAATTTCTGGACCGGCTTAATATCTGTCCACTGCTCGAGAAGGGTGTGGGGGTACAAAGTGGAAAAGTAGGTTTTTGATACCAAAATTAGTTTACCGTTTTCTGTCTAATAGACATATCCGTGAGATTTCAGATTCTCACTACGGTCAGTTTGACGTTTGTGCTTCTGTGTTATAGACTTTTTGTGATTTCAGCTTAGAATAATAATAGCAGGAGGGCATTTTTATTTGCACGTTCCGTTTTATTGTCCAAGGTGAAACAGCTGTGAAGGAATGTGGAACTGTAATTATTTTATAGGCACGCCACAACCTTATCCATTCCCATTTTAAGCCCGCGCGCTTGGTAAATAGTACAGAAACTAAACTGCATTCTGCTTACCCATTTGTTAACTTGTCAACTTGTTTGTTGTTATATTTCATCTACTGATTGTTGTTATTTTGACCGCTTCATGTAATTGTGCGTTGTGATAAATAAACTTAACTCTTTGAAGTCGTTTTGAATTTATTTGTAGGCGATAGGCTGATAGTTGCTGTTTGGGAATATGAACGCAAAGCAAATTCTGTGATGATGTGTGATGAAATGAAGCAGGCACGAAAACGGAAACACAGGAACTTTGTTTTGGACATGGCGACATTTGTGATCGTCTAACCTAACATGCGTTGTTTCAAGAACACATTTATAATGGACCTTGGACCTTATCACCTCTTGTTTATCCCCATAGGTAAATTTCATTTCAAGGTTTTGTGAATTTTTCTGGCTGCCCTGCTGTTCACGCGCTTTTACAAGTAAAACATGGTCGGCAAACGTGGTATTTCGTAGATAATTTTGAAACGCTGAATCAACTACGAGGTTATATAAGCTATAGAAGAATAAGGGGACTACATATTGCGACTTGAAATAAAATTACTTAGCATACAGAAGTTTGTAAATGCTTTATATATAACTTTAAGCGCTAGAAGACCACCAACAAGAAGTCGAGTTTAGAAGTAAGCAATGCTTAAAATCTAATTTAATCAGCTCTCGAAATTTTCTTCATTCCAAGAATGCGAGAAAGTAAAACATCACATTTTACACAAATAAATTTAAAGATTTCCGTCTTCTGGGTTGTTGCGCTGTGTAGTCTGGTTGATGTTAACCAACGTTTCGGAGGTCATACTGCCTCCGTCATCAGGGCCCTGATGACGGAGGCAGTATGACCTCCGAAACGTTGGTTAACATCAACCAGACTACACAGCGCAACAACCCAGAAGACGGAAATCTTTAAATTTATTTGTGTAAAATGTGATGTTTTACTTTCTCGCATTCTTGGAATGAAGAAAATTTCGAGAGCTGATTAAATTAGATTTTAAGCATTGCTTACTTCTAAACTCGACTTCTTGTTGGTGGTCTTCTAGCGCTTAAAGTTATATATAAAGCATTTACAAACTTCTGTATGCTAAGTAATTTTATTTCAAGTCGCAATATGTAGTCCCCTTATTCTTCTATAGCTTATATAACCTCGTAGTTGATTCAGCGTTTCAAAATTATCTACGAAATACCACGTTTGCCGACCATGTTTTACTTGTAAAAGCGCGTGAACAGCAGGGCAGCCAGAAAAATTCACAAAACCTTGAAATGAAATTTACCTATGGGGATAAACAAGAGGTGATAAGGTCCAAGGTCCATTATAAATGTGTTCTTGAAACAACGCATGCGCCCGTCGTGTTTGTTACGTTGCAAGAGGTTAGTCAGCCTGCTTTGTGTATTGCAAGTACCAACTGTCGGACATTCCACCTTGCGAATGTTATATGGTATGAAAGAAGCAATATCAGCGACTGACAAATGTCGAAACAAAATGGAAGACTTTGGCTTCTGCATATCGTGTGATAGAAGTTTAGAAGGATAGTAGGGTACAAATGAGTTATAAATGGGACCTATTATGGGCAAGGGAAATTTACCAGACTGTCAATTTACGGGTTTGTTTCCACGAAGACGAAGAAGGAGGTGGGGTTTATGGTGGTTTGATTTGAGCCGAGGTAATCATTGTTATTGTCGTTATTCGCTACAGCATGTTTCTTCCTTCTCGTGGAAGTAGCACGTAGTACTTGGAGCGTCCAGTACAGACTGGTTTAAAATATGCTGACCAGCAATTTAGTTTAGGGCTTTCAAAAAATATAAGCGGCACCAACTGTTTTCATGATCGTGGACATTCCAGAGACATCAAGATTTGTGTAGGTTGAATCAAACTGATGGAGCGAAAGGACAACTGGATTTTTAGGTTAGGTTAAAAAAATATATGAAATCCCCTGTTATGTTGGTAAGATTACAGGTTGTCATGGCGGCGAGTATAAGATATGTCAGAGGCGCGTGTTATCTCTATCACTCACCACCCTGATGGTGGAGGCAGCAAGTACATATGAAACGTCGGTAAACTTCTACCAGACTACACGGCAGTCATTTTCATACTGACTCAACTTTCACATTGATTATCTTGTTCACAATTTTCCATTTTCTATCCTGAGCCAGATAAATCCAATCTACACCCTGCAACCCCCAGTAACTTGAATATTACCGCCCCATCAGATCCTATATCTTTGCGTGGTCTCTTCCCTTCAGGCTTTTATAAAAAAAAAGTACACGTTTCTCACCTCCCAGTGCGATGAGCCAGATAAATCCAATCTACACCCTGCAACCCCCAGTAACTTGAATATTACCGCCCCATCAGATCCTATATCTTTGCGTGGTCTCTTCCCTTCAGGCTTTTATAAAAAAAAGTACACGTTTCTCACCTCCCAGTGCGAGCTACATGCTCCACCCATCTCATCCTCCCTGGTTTGATCGTCTCCATAACATTTGGCGCAGAACACACGGATTTTCTGCTTCATATTTCTGAGTTTTAAATTGGGAAACGTTTGTACCCCCCCACCCCACCCCCCGCAATGAAGGTTGGTACCACCAAGTATGGTTTGTGTGTACACCGGAAACGAATCCTGTTTCAACAATTACATTGGCGTTATGATAGCCGAACACGAGGAATGTGACGTGGAGAAAAGCATAACCATTCATTATGTGTGTGAGTTCTGAACAAATGGTGAAACACGCATTTCATGTTTTTGCAGGTGAAGCGATTCATCTGGCGAGAGACTTCGGTTACGTCTGTGAGACCGAATTTCCGGCACGGCAAGTAGCAGAGTACCTGAGCCGCCAGCACACCGACCCTTCTGAGTCGTATCGCCGCAAGGAGCTCATCCACGCCACCAAGTGAGTTTCGTTTGAACCTGTTGCTGATGACGATTTTAAAAGAACTGGGCGTGGGTATTTATAACGCAGTAAATACCACAGCCTTCTGGCAACCCTGTTAGTGTTAGCAAAATTTCCGTTTTTAGTTATAAGGCTCTGTTTACCATTTCCAGCAATGCGTTTCTTACGCAGGAATGGTGTTACCTAGCAAGGGACTCCGCCCTTAATTAGATTTTTTGGTTGGTTGGTTGGTAACCTGGCATGCTAAACCGAGTGTAGTGACGTAGAAGTTTGTCATGGCACTTGCATGGAGAGACTGAGAAAGACTCATTTGGAAAGGCAGCGTCTTGGTTAATATTGAAATGGAATATTTCTCATTTTGCATTGCTTGGAGGTAGGAGACGTTTCAGCAGACCGTTTCAAAACTTATAGTTTTATAAGTGGTTAAGATTACGACCATTTTGTTTGCAGACAAATCACCAAAGAGTTGATGGACCTCCTGAATCAGGACAGATCACCATTGTGCAATACTCGGCCACAGCATATCTTGGACCCTAGTATCCAGCGTCACCTCACACACTTCTCGCTCATATCGCACGGTTTTGGCAGTCCAGCTATTGTGGCCGCCCTCACCGCCATCCAGGTGAGCGATATTTACGTTCTGAAAACACGCGAACTACCGTACTATGATTGTGATTGAATTGACTCGAATTGTTGGTGTGCATGTTGCATCCACCATATTTAGGTTATGTATTCTCTTCAAAAAGTTCTAAGTATCAGAATATCGAAATGCATGTTGAATTTAATGTACGTGCATGAAATTTGACTACGTATATATTCCTTAATGATAGATTGCAGATGCAAATCCAATCTATGAGTGTTACAGCGTTATCAGCAATGTATTATCCCTCTTTTTCTTGATGTTATTTTTATTCCTGTAGTCACATAGCGAATGTACATGCATCACTGGCACAAAAATTACACACTGCTTACAACACAGCTCCTAACAGAACTTAGAGCTTCCACTCCCATGCCTGCTCCCATTGGCCCGGGGCAGGCTACACCTTTCACTTTCCGGCCTATAAACCTAGCACCTCACACCCTATTGGCCTATTCATCGCCCTGATGACGGAGGCAGTATGACCTCTGAAACGTTGGTTAACATCGACCAGACTACACAGCGCAACAACCCAGAAGACAGAAATCTTCATACTCACCGCAGTGAAAACTTCATATCTTACAACCTCTGAAACATTGATAAGCTTCTACCAGATTACACAGTTCTACAACCCAGAAAGCACTTTTTTTAATATCTTGTGCTTGGTTATGAATGGTCTCATTTTCTGCAGTTATTTTACTGAGTGATTTGTAATTATTCTCTGAAAGTGGTCTCTCAGATATCATACAAGTTTAATACGGAGAAGGTTCTGTATTTATTTCCAACTATTGCCTTTAATATCATAAGTAAACAACAAAAATATAAGCCAATGTGATGATAAATCATAATAGACAGAACACAGTAAAACTTCCGAAATGTCTCGTGTATTAAATATACTGAGACAATGATTAGTGAATTTGTATTTGAGTTAATTACCACAAATTTTACACACAATATCATTGAATATAGTTACCACCCATAATGATTTAATGCAGTCTATTCTGCTAACAGTTTTATCATATCACAAAATAGATGAAAGTCAGCTGATTACAATTTGGAACTTGCAGCATCTTAATTATGAGGATTAATCGGCAAGTGCCGCTATTACATTCGGCCAGTCGTTACTTTTTGAAGATTCACAGCTCATGTGAACTTGCGCACTGAAGCACATAACTTCCGCTCGGTTTGTCATCTGAACGCTCACCCGAAATCTTCCGAACAGAATCAAACGCGTGCTAATGAAAATGCAAACAAAAGGATGCAGCACTAACCAGGGGGAAGTATGTGCGTCAGTTCGCCTTACACTTTGCTCTAGTATGAGTCTCGTGAAAGATTTTACTGTTTTCTTTTTAACATTTCTGTGGTTTCCGTTGCTCGTATGTTTTGTTTCAGGTAAAAAAAATATAATTGTTTCTGTTTCATTTTAATATCTTGGCTGTTTGGAAACGTAACACCCAATTATAACATTGTGCTTATGGGAAATTGCGACTCACTTTTCTGTTATCTGTTTTTTATCCTACTGGTGGCATGGACGACAGAATGCTTTCTTCATTCTGCATGTGGTGGTTTTCTTTCTTGTGGAATTTTATTTTACTTACCAAGAAGCTTGTATTAATATTTTTGTGACGCAGAAGAATAAAGTAGAGGAACAACAACGCTTGCTTAGAGGTAAGTGCCTGCTTAAATTATCCATATTAACTATAATTGTATATTATTGAAATTGTTGTGTGAAAGCATGATGGAATATTAATATGTTCTGCAGTCAAAGGAGCTATTTAAGGGTCCTTAAATAATTTCAAGTGGTAAAACAAGCTTTCAGTCTTGTTCATAATGAATTTTCAGAGATTAACCTATTATCTTTAGCATGTCTGTCTGCATGTAACAGTTTAGAATATGCTGAACTGGCCTTCAGAAAATTTTATATCAAGGAGTTTTACTGGAATTTGTCGACATATTCAAATTTTAGATTAAGCTGTGCAATAGTAATAGACCACTCAACATGTATAATTACCTGAATTTCAAGCACAATCTACTAAATATTTATTGAGACAAAAAGTGTTTTGGACAAAAGTTACAAAAGAAATTTTTCTGTAAGCTAGTGCCTTCAAATTAACAAAATTAACAAGAAATTTATTTTAAAACTTGACCACTTTAAAATGCATTTTATTTGTATCAGCATTATCTTGCTTTCAGTATGTCTAACTTAAGATGTAATAGGTTTCCCACTACAACATAATTGGCTCTAGTATGGGATTCAGTATATTGGAAATATATCTAATTCTACAGTTTAGTTTAAATTTATCGCTTTGGAACGTGGATTTACATAGAACTAAAATTCTATGACTTTACTATGAATTTAACTGTACATAATTTATTTTAATACAGTGTGTAGAATATTATTTTCTGTTATATGAGTACAGACCAATTATGTCTGAGTAAGATGAAGGTAATTGGGTTTATTATTTTGCAGAATTTCTTGTCGGAGTCACTGAAACACTTGGACAAGATGTATCCTTCTGGTAATAACGGTGGAGCGCACATATCTGTGACGTCCTCACAGCAAGCGGGAGGCGGCGGTGGAATGGACACGAAGCCCAAGGATCTGGGTGATATGAAGAAGTGAGGCTGGCTGAGACGGGGCGCCGTGGTTTCTTCTAACTCCGACGACCCTAACACCATGCCAACGCAGCCTCCTGCCACCACACTGCGTCACTCCTGGCCTTACAATTAAACTAGGATCAGAGTTCTGATGGAACAGTATGCGGGAGGATTATGTAGTTGCCTTTGGCATTAAGAAAAAGAAGGATTTCCTTTTTGTGCCATTCCTAGCCCAACGAAAAATGGAATAAGTACTGCGAATTTCAACTAAAGTAACCGGATGGACACTGCATCCTTGGCTTCATTTGAGATGAAAGTATGTCAAGTTGATAAACTGTTAAGGTCCACGCCAGGTTAAATTTTGACAAGGTTTGAATTTGAAAGTGTCATATTTTGTGGCGTGTGTTAAATTTTGCCACACGGTTGTGCCGTCTCCAAATTCTCTTAATGCCGCTATGCACATTATACCCGCATGGATAAGAACTTGTTACATTGAACTAATCACAAATAAATGTGTACAAGATGGGATTTGAGGTTATCATGGCTGTGAGTATGAAAATGGTTGTCTTCTGAGTTGTAGTCTTATAGGCATTGACTGACATTTATCACTATTTATAACTCTGATGATGGAGGCAGAGAGCTCATCTGAGATATCAGTCAATATCTACCCAGAATACACAAGAATGATGAACAGTTCATCATCATCTTAGAGGCAGAAAGTTCCTTTGAAATGTCAGCAAACACTACCAGACAAAATTAACAAAACTGCTTAACAGTTTTACAGTCGTGTTCCCA